TTTCAAAGGTACACACCTACTTTCCCTGAAATATACTGATACTGATACTGATACAGTGCAAAACTTCCGTACTTTGGAGCGCAGGAACCGGTATGAGATGGTCTTTTGGTGGAGACCTTATAGCGTCCCAAGCGTGTATGAACCTCCCGTCGCTGATACGCACGCCGAGCTAGGGACCACGTGATCGCGGTTCCCGAGCAGCTAGAACCTGTGCGCATGCGGCCTCCAGGGCAACCAATCACGGGCGCCCACTAACTCGGCTATCATCCCATCGGCTGATCAAACGGACGCTGATTGGCTCAGGGTGATGCTTGTTCATTTACGCCTACATCACCTTGGCGGCCAGGCATGTACGCCAGCCCGTTGGGGGTTTTGATCACCTGCCGCGTTCCTCTGCAGAGTACACGACTTCCACTGGTGTCTTTCCCCTTCTACCCCAAGACGGAAGTACACTCATTACTCTGCGCCGAAACGCACCCTGTATTTCAACGTCCGGCTTCCAAAATACTTTGAATTTCAAAGCATCCAATTCTGTTGAGACGCCATTTTGCACTCAAGGAGTGGTTACTGAGATGTACCCTAAACGTAGAGTTCCTATTTGACAACAGTCTGTATAGACAAATAGACGGAGTAGCTATGGGCTCGCCCCTTGATCCTCTTTTGACGAACGTATTCATAGGCGAGCTAGACGCTTTCGAGCTTAGTCGCCAGATCAATGGTCTGAGACACTATTGACGCTACGTGGATGATATATTCGCAATTACACCTGAACGAAGCGATGGTTCAGTTCTACTGGATAATGTTAATCAGGCGCACTCACCAATCAAATTTACTCTGGAAGAAGAGCGATACGGATCGCACCCCTTTCTGAAAGTACTTTTGAGTAGAAGGCCTGACGGTAGTATTCGACGTAGCATCTATCGTAAGAAGACGTGGTCCGGCAATGCACCAGTTTTGGGAGTTTCGTACCGTTAAACATGAAGCACAATTTAGTCCGCTGTTTAACACAAAGAGTAAGGAGGATCTGCACGGCTGATAGCATTGGTGAAGGACTTAAGATTGTCGAAAATCTCTTTTGCCAGAACGGGTACCCCGATCGATTCATTGCCAAATACATGGCCGAAAGACTTCCAAAGTTCCCGATGCTGACAGCAGAAAAGAAGAAGCTTTTCGTCAGGGTCCCGTTTCAAGGGACGCACCAAGTGAACTTATAAGAGGGCGCCTAAGTCAAGCTGTATCAAGCACCTTTCCAGCAGCTGACGCCCGTGTACTCTTCTCCACTAGACCCATCCTTCACCTGCTCCTGTGGGGCAGAATATGTTGGTTGCACGAGCCGACGTTTGTCCGAAGGAATAAGAGAACACCTTCCAACATGGTTAGGAAAGGGCCAAATAAAGAACGTCAACAGCTCTATCCTCGACCACATGGTAGACACAGATCATTGTGTGGATGCCGGACAGGCATTCCGAGTGATTTACAAGGTTCCGTCAAGCAATCCAAAATCACTTGGTCAGCGTCTGTTGGCAACTGCAGGGGCGGCTGCAATCAGG